AAAGCACATATTCGGAATCAGCATCGCGAGCTCTATCAGATGATGTAAAAAAACTTGAAAAATAAAAAGTGCTCCTTTTTTGCCCTTGGTGCACCTTACGAATATCTTCACATGCTGCTTTAATATGATTTGGCTTAAATGCTTCAATGTAAATATATCCACGATCATTTTCTTTTACAATAATAGATTTTATTTGTAATGCCTTGAAAATAAATATATTTTATTTTGATTAAGATTTTTTTTTTATTTTTGTTATTACTTTTTCATTATTTTCTAAAGCAAGATATTTTCTCATAAGTAATAAAGCTATTTATTTTTCATCTTCAATTCGACATTTAACTGACCAAAGAATTAGGTGATTTAACATCAGATAATAAACTTGCTTGAGTTATTTCATCTGGAATTTGTTCTTCATCAGCATAATTATCACCATGTATTTTTCGACCGTAACGTTCTTTTAAATATTTTTCTATTTCAGATGGCTTCATATCACTATAAAAACAAACGTTTTCAACTATTGGAAATTTTGATCATCCAGCTCGATAAATATCAGCTACTGTTGTATCATGAATATTTGTTTGTTGAACAAAACCTTCTTCAGATGTATCGTCTTCTTCTTCATCATCAATATCTATGAAAATATAAAAATAGATTTTTCTTTCTAGATTAAAACTTTAACCAGCTTCATCAATGATAAAATTTTTTCAAACAATTTTTTTCGTTTTTGTTGATGACTTTCCTTGTTTATTTTATTCGTAGTTTCTTCTTCAACCTAAAATAATTATTAAAAAATGTATTGCTTTTTATTTATAAAAATAAAAGAAACCTTTTCATCTTGATCATCTGATACTTTTCGTTTTTCTGATTTGTCTTCTTTTGTGTCATCGTTATACTGATATAAAGAAAAAACAAAAAATGAATCTTTTCAAGTCATGAAAACTAACCTTACTGTCAATCATTTTTTTCCGTGAATAAACTGTCTAAAATAAGATAAGAAACATTAGTCTAAGCAAAGAAGTAACATTCAATCTTACTTTCTACTTGTGTTTAGTCTAAATAAATGACTTAATGAAAGAAAAACGATTGACTTTATATAGTGATCAATAATTCATTTCTATTTCCTTGAAAGATTTTAGCTAATAGAAAATTATAAATTATGTAAATGAGATAAGCGACTTACGTCATAAATATCTATATATTTTAGTTTGACATCTTGAAAAAAATGATGGCGAAAAATTTGTTACAAGTAAAAACTTCTACAGTCAATTGCTGGATTTCATTAGAAATTCTTCTATTTTTCGAAATGTTTGAATTTGAATATTTGAAATTATTGATTGTTAAGTGTACAAATGTTTATAAACTTAATTCTCTTCAATTACTTTCCGTATAAGATTGTTTTGATATTTATATTTGACTTTGTAATAAAATAATGGTTTCATTGTTTCTATATGTTAAAGAATCAAGCTGAATTTGATATCATAAATTATTGATTGAGTCTCTTCGCTTCACAATCAAGTAATGACTATACAATCATAACCGATCAAAAAACTCTCTCATATTTAGTTTTAATAATATATTAAGATGTTGTTGATATTTAACGAGTTTCATGTCTGAAAAATGGTCATGAGCGTGATCGTCTTCAGTGGCAAAGAACTCTTAACAAATATCATAAGTTTCCAGGTCGAGAACTGCAATGATTGCATCTGCTTGGATTCTCTATCAAAACTTAAGAGATCTAAAGGATCCGATAGGATTTGAATCCATTATCGTTCTACCTTTATTAAGATTCAAACGCGAGATAAACTTAGATATTATGATTAAGACACGGGGCAAAGACTTTACGAACATGTAACCTATATCTTTACACTTACAGACAGCGACAATAATTTAAGTGAATTTCTGTTGTTCAATTTTTCTTTCATATTATTTATGGGTAAGAACCTATTTGAAATGGTGCCATAGATAGTCGGAGATGTTGGCAATATGGTGTAATAAAATATGAGAAGAGGACTCTGTCTGTCTATATTGATTTTCCATCATTAAAATGATTTCTCGTTTCCTAACGAAGAGATTTGTGCTAGAATAAGACAAGAATAGGTTAATCAATAGAGAATTCTATCCTCTAGCAAAATTTCTACAAACCAAATTTTCTCCATAGTCTATCTTTATTTGCGAAACTTGACTTTAACGAGAACACGCAGCACACATAGAAAAATAAAATTCGTCAATTCCCATCGTATTTCACTCAAGTTTGAGAATAATCATAAGTTTAAAAACTGTAAAAACATTTCTTTTCAAACAAAATAAGCAGAACTCTTTACATTATCGTCCCACAAATTAAGTCCTTAGATTGTATTACGATGGAAATTGAAGGATTTGACTTTTCTATGTATGTCGCATATTCTCACTAAAGTCAGCTTTTGCAAGATGGACTATGCGAAAAAATTGCTTTGTAGAAATTGCTAGGACATAAAGTTTGCTATCTATTGACGTATACTTTTTTCATTCTAGCACATATCTCTTGGTTAGGAAACGAGAAATCATTTTAATGATGGAAAACCGATATAGACAGACAGAATCTTCTTCTTCTCTTTTATTACATCATGTTGCCAGCGTCTCAGATTATCTACTTTGTGATTATAAACAGATTCGTCCAGTGACTTCGATAATGACTAAAAGAATAATTTTACTACATACATAACTAAAGACCCTATTTTATCTCTCCCCTTTCTATTTCGAAATATTTCGTTTTAATGTTAACGTTCTTATTAGTAAACAAATAAATTCTTCGATAATAATATAGCATAGTAGTAAATTTGTTACCAAATATCCTGCAGTTTCATACATATCCTACAGATAATGTTTTAAATATCATCTCTTCCTGATTATAAGAGAAAAATATTAACTTGACAATCGATAAAAATATCAAGTCATTTTATTTTATTTTTTTAGCGAAGATGTCTCAAACATTGACATTTTAATCTATTTTTAAGCACATCTTTTCATCGTTTAATATTGAACAAGTCATATATCAGATTGTATCAGCAAGATAAACTCATATACGAACTTCATGGTAAATGAAACTCAACAACACTTGTCACCAATGCATTTTAAAAAGGATTCTACTGTGGATGAAATCGATATGCAATGATATGCTATTGATTGAGCGTCGATGGATGCTAATAGAAGATCCACAGTCAAACTACAAATTCATTTTTATTGCTATGTCTGTGGTTGGAGGATGACATAGAACAAAACCATGTCGCTCAGTTATAACGATGTCTGATTTTGATGAATGCGGAGTGACATAGAAGTGAAGACAACTATGCAACTTACAATAATTCTGCATTATGCTAATTTTCAATTGTGATACAAAGATAGTTTTTGAAGTCCATTTACAACTACTTTCAAATGAATCCACCAATGATGTTCGACTCTTCCGGTCTTGTTTGTGTGCCTATCTAGCATGAAGAATTCATAAAGTTTAATTTTTGGTATAGGTCAATTTTTTGCATTTTTGGGCATATTTTCCAAGTTTCCAGAAAAAAAACTATAGTGCATGTTGTAGAGAAAAGAATTCTCTACAAGATAGGCTTAGATAATTTGTAGTATAAAAGAGTTATGACTGTAGTTTTTCGATAAATTTTTAAAATCCAGGTTTTTGATTTGGAATTTTGCGCCTTGAAGTGTCATCTTTGACATATGACAAGTATTTCATTTTGTTCAGTTTTTCTTTCACATAACAATGAAACATTGATAAAAAAAATCAATCAAAAAATAACCGAGAAAAAAGTAAAATAAAGTTTACCTATTTTTTGAGAAAATTGAAAATCTCATATCTCAGCAAGAAAATGTTTGTTTTATCTAGAACTTTGATCACAGAAGTTTCTCAGTAAGGACTGTCAAATTTGAATATTGAGCATGTTATACACTTCTAGTAAAATTTTCGATGCACTTGTAGAACCTCAGTTAAGTAACCAAGTCATATTTAAATAGTTTTCTATGTTTATAAAATAGTGTTTAGATTAAATAGCCCTTCATTGAATTATTTTCATTTTCTCCGCTGCTTATTTGAAACAAATCAGTTCGAACAAATAAGTAGCTGACTACTTGTTGAGTAGCTACGAATATTTTTAAGTAATCGTTAAATTTTACTCTTTCAAACAAACAAACTTAGATCCATTCGATGTTTCGATGGTTTGAAATCAATTCTACCATTTTCCATAGACTTTTGCATGATTTGTTATTTCATCTGAAAATTTACACCTCGGAAATAGACAGATGCACCTGTATTGAAGAATAAAGTAGCTCACACATAAGAAAATACTCTGATGTCCACACACTTCCATCTAAATACACCGATTTGGCATAGAAAAACATGGCAAAAATCAGATTACATTATATTCACAATATCGTGAACAGGAGAAATCAGACAATATAATATTAATGCACACTGTCACTTATACCAACATAACCCTCAATCGTTGCATCATTTCTGCTTATCACTCTTTCTCTCTCGTCATACATGCGAATTGGCAAACAAAAATTGTGATTGTATCTGAATAACATCGGCCAATTTGAAAAACCTCAGTTTCGTTGCAACGAGCAGCAGTGATGTGCTGTCGTCTTCAGACCTATTTCGACTCTGCTTAACCGAAATCACTAGTTATTATTCTATAATAGTGGTTCCTAAACGATTGCATCTTTCTTCATTAGAAACTACGTCATTCCTGTGTATGAGTATTTTTATATTCAGTATGCATACATATTTTTGTTTGCCTACATATGAGAGAAAGAAGACCCTCATTCGCTTCGTCTTTCTGTATCACTGACAAACCATTTCTTTCTATTTCTGTATTGTATGTGTGCGCCAGCGTACGAATATGACGACATCGGTGAATCCTCTGTTGCTAAATAAAGAAAGAAAGCGTCGAACTTTGCTCAAGGATTTGTTTTTCTCTTTGACGGACTTAGTTTAAAAAAAACATAAATAAGAGAAAAAAATCGGTCAATAAGATTTGTATTCACGTCATATGCTATTCTCGGTTTTATATGAATAATGTAAGTGATACCGGTTTTTTCGTACGTCATTTATGCTGACGCACTTTGATCACGCTTGACTGGTTTCAAATGAAGGATTTAGAGTGAGAAAGAAAAAGAATGTGTTACATTATTTTTCTCTTCACTCAAGATCGAAGCTATAAAAATAAGACCTACTTTCGCATAATTATAAACGCCATCAAGCTCGAACAAAATCAAACAACTGCAACTTTCCATCTATTATTATCGTTATTAACCATGCATATACAAAAAATTGCAATGCAAATACTATTGATGTTGGCCATTCTAGCCATGATTCTCATGCCATCGCTGGCAGAAAATGATGAACACAAACATCTCCATCATATGCAGCGAAAGCGTTTAGAATAGTTCGTTTGTGATGTGATCTATCATCATGCAACGATTTTGACAAATTCAATTTATATTG